TTCCTTCAATTCTTTCATCAAATATGTATTTAATCCTATTTTTTTAGTCCTTAACTTAAGGTATAATTTGTGTGTTACTCTGAGACTATCATTGTGCTTTGATACCTCTTTTATTTTTTCTTTTTAATAATTATTTTACTTTATCTTAAAAAACAAGTGGTTTCAGAACCATATCCTCAGAAACATACTCAGTTCTTCATAAATTATGTGCTTGTTTATATTAATTCTTTGATCACACTTGCCCATGTATAACAAACTTTCAAATTTTTTCAGGCTGTTTACAAATCTGACCTGGAATGGCTGAGAGGCATTGGATGGGTTCCTATTGGTTCCTTGGAAGTCGAGAAAGCCAAGAAAGCTGGAGAAATCCTCAGTGACAGGAAGTATCGGCAGCCTGCAGACAAAATCAAATTTACCAGTGTGACCGATTCCTTGGCCATGGTCTTAGCCAAGCAAAATGCTGAGATCATGAACAAGGTGAGGGTGGTACTGCCAGTTAATAGAACTTGTTCATGAGGTGAAAAATCCAAAGTACAAAGTAAACCCAAAAAATTGTGGATTTAAGAGAAAGTTGATGTCCAAATTCAGCCGTTGTACAGGAAAGCTGTTCTCACAGGGCTCAGTCTGAAGTGAGCAGTTGGCAAAAATCTACAGACAAAAGTCCCTTAAATCAAAGATTTTTCCAAGAGTAATACTGCATGATGAACAAGTGATGAGGAAATACCTGAAGTTCTCTGGACGTGAAACTTGTGCAACATATCTCAGATCTGGAGGGTGAAAATCACTAAGTACCTCCTGCTTTATAGCAAGCATAATCAAACAATTATACAGAATAATTAATACACTTTTCCTCCTATGGCTGTTTCTCCACAATCCAAATCTATCAGTTGCTGCACCAGCTTAACCTGAGAAATGATGAAGAGGGACAAAGTTTTCCTTCTTGAGCTGTTCAGAGAGAAACTTTGCTGTGTCAGGGTATTAGAGCTTACTAGAACTATCCCTAGCAGTTTGTAAAAAAAATTGTAATTGTAAAATAATTTCATAAAGAACTGTTTGTAAAGGGCTGTTTTCCTGTCTTGCAGCGCTTGTACACGGAAGCCTGGGATGCAGACAAGAAGTCCATCCATGTCATGCCTGACACACCAGACATTCTGCTAGCAAAGGCCAACGCAGCCAATGTTAGCAATGTAAGGAGATTTAAACATTTACTGAACTAGTGGAAATTCAGAGTTAAGTCAGCATTTCTTTAGTCATAAAGATGTTCTGAAGCACGCATTCATGAAAAATTTGAGAGACAATTATAAAATGCAGGAATCCCAACTTTCAGAATATTGATAAGCCATTTTCTGTCTTCTCTTGTGTAGAAACTTTATGTACAAGCCTGGGAAGAGGCCAAAAAGAAGGGTTATGACATGAGAGCTGATGCAATTCCAATCAAAACTGCAAAAGCATCAAGAGATATTGCGAGTGACGTATGTTATTCCCTTACATTTATTTTCATTTCCTTTAAAAACAAGAATATGTATTTTTATGATCAATAGCAATAGGAGATGATGGGACCTTCATCCCAGATTCACTTCTTTTTGTATTTCCAGTACAAGTACAAAGAAACCCACGAGAAGGAGAAAGGCCACTACATCGGGTGCCCCAGTGCCAAGGAGGACCCCAGGCTGGCGCAGGCCGCGCGCGCCATGGCCCTGCAGAACGACCGCCTCTACAAGAAGGCTTACAACGATTCCAAGACCCAGATCCACATCCCTGTGGATGCCCTGTCAGTGCAGGCAGCCAAGGAGTGCCAGACCCTGGTCAGTGACATTGACTACAGGCAGTACCTGCACCAGTGGACCTGCCTTCCTGACCAGAACGACGTGATCCACGCCCGGCAGGCCTACGACCTCCAGAGCGATGTGAGTGACAATCACTGTAGGAAAGCTTTAGGGCAGCTGTGTGAGGCTCTGTTTGTTAGTGACTGGCAAATATGCTTTCAAATGCATGTTCATGGGCCTGCAGTTGGTTCTGGTATGTTTATTTTATCCTTTCCAAAGGGTTTCAGCCTGTGTGCCGGAAATATTTGGGGCAGTTCATAAGGAAGCCATGTTTTCTTCCTCTGCTCTAGAATGTTTGCTTTCAACTACTTGCAGATTATGCCCCTGCTTTGAATGCAGGGTCTTAAAAGTATTGTTTCTTTGCAAATCGGGGATGCTGTTTCTAGAAAGGACCTGATACAACAGAGCATCACTGGCTGCTTGCTGTGTAAAGAGTATAAGTTGGGGAAAGGCTTATAAAAAACCTTCTTGAACTTAGAGCTACAGAATCCCAAAATGGTTTGGGTTGGGAAAGACCATCTTATTCCAATCCCCTGCCATGGGCACGGGACACCTTCCAGTAGTCTTGGTTATTCAGAGCCACATCCAGACTGGTCTTGAACTTCTCCAGGAACTGAGAGTGCACCAGCTCTCTGGGCTAAGAGTTACCTCTGCAATGCCAGTAACCCTTGGTTTGTTTGTAGAACGTGTACAAGTCCGACCTGGAATGGCTGCGAGGCATTGGCTGGCTGACAGAAGGGTCTGTGGATGTGGTCAAAGCCAAGAAGGCCCAGGAGCTCCTCAACGAGCGCCTGTACCGCACGCGGCCGGAGCAGCTGAAGTTCACCAGCATCACCGACTCCCCAGACGTTGTCCTGGCCAAGACCAACGCCATGCAGCTCAGTGATGTAAGCTCCCCTTCCACTTGTAGGATGACATTTCATTTCTTTCTGGTGGGGAGTAGAATTTCTACGGTGGGAATGATGAGTTGGGAAGTTTTGCAAGTTGGAATTACTGAAGAATTCCTCTTGGTGTTTTTTTTCCTCACCATACTGAATTGCCATTGTTCTTCCTTTCTCCTCAGCGTCTGTATCGTGAGGCCTGGGATAAAGACAAGACCCAGATTTCCCTCCCTTCAGACACTCCTGTCATGCTGCAGTCCAAAGTCAATGCTCTCAACATCAGCAATGTAAGAGAATAACATGGAATATTTGTGAAGTGTTAGAAAGTGAAGGCTGGCAATTGTTCTTCCAGTTTTTGCTGTAAATGGTGGTGCACAAACTCACTTTCTAATGTGCTTGTAAACAGGACATTACATCCAGAGGCTTTTTATCACCTCTCAGCCTATCAACAGGTTGTGTGTTCATGAACAAACTCCCAAGCTCAGTATGCAATTCCACACAACTTCTGCTCCCTGCCAAATACATTCCATGGAGTCCAGTTGGAGTCTGCAGACATAGTGGTCTGTCTTCAGCAATATTTCTGCTGCCTCTTTGAGTTTTAATCTTGCACCTACTTTAAGTCATGAGTTTTCTGTTGAGACACTTGCCAGGATCATTATTGTCACTCTGCCAGTTACAGGAAGCACACAGGGCTCCCAAGCTGGTCATTCCCAGCAAGCAGGTTTTTAGAGAAGGCATTTCACTATGTTTAAGAAAGGTGATTAATTTTCTTTACAGAAACATTATCAGAAAGCCTGGGATGAGGTCAAGGCGAAAAGCTACGACCTAAGAGCTGATGCCATTCCCATCAAACAAGCCAAGGCCTCCAGAGACATTGCCAGTGAGGTACAGCCTTCTCTTCGTGTGGTGCTTGTGTCTCAGCAGAACTGAGTGGAGCTCAGGCTGGCAGCCTGAGCCTGGTGCCTGTGTCCAGGTGAGGAACACACCTTCTGTTCTCTCTTCATTTCCAGTACAAGTACAAAGAAACCCACGAGAAGGAGAAAGGCCACTACATCGGGTGCCCCAGTGCCAAGGAGGACCCCAGGCTGGCGCAGGCCGCGCGCGCCATGGCCCTGCAGAACGACCGCCTCTACAAGAAGGCCTACAACGATTCCAAGACCCAGATCCACATCCCTGTGGATGCCCTGTCGGTGCAGGCAGCCAAGGAGTGCCAGACCCTGGTCAGTGACATTGACTACAGGCAGTACCTGCACCAGTGGACCTGCCTTCCTGACCAGAACGACGTGATCCACGCC